TCTGTTATGTGTTAATATATTTACAGTTATTAATTAACATTTTAATTTTTTGCATTTTTTTATTTGTAATATTGTAACCATGTATTTAGTAAATTAATATGGTTCCTTCTTAAAGCTCAATAAATATACTAAATTCACCTTAGATACAATAGAATATACAGATTTTAGAATTTATTCTATCATGATTATAACCATAATAATAATGATCTTAGTTACTACTACCATAATATAATGATTACTAGTTAGTATTAAAAATTTAAAACCATTGTTAATGGATAGTTTTGTGGGTAGAGTATAAACATAATAAATAATATAGATAATATTAATAATACCATACTAGTATATTATAATCTTGAAATTAAAACCATGCTCATAAACATACCAATTAAATTAAGAACCAAGTTTATCTATAGTTAGATCTATGACTAAAATCTTAGTATATAATTAAATGATTAACATACAAAAGAAAAAATTGCACTAAGTTTATGTCACTAGGTACACTAAATAATAAAATGTATTTATATTATTATATTATATGCCTATATATATGTTACAGTTAAAGTGTTGAATCAGTTAGTTTATAAAATAACTAGGTAATTTATAAAATAACTAAAGCTTGTAGGTGATGTATATAATTTATACTTTAACTAGTTATTTTATACATTCCCTAGCATCACTCCGTTAATGTGTTAAATTGTAAATAACAAAAAATCATGATAAATAAATATAGTTCTAAAATTTTCAAAAATTTGATATAACATATTAAATCAGATAAGATTGACATCCTTTTTGTCGGTGACCGCAAGATACGTTTGGAAAAACAGGCAAAAAGGATGAAAGATTTATCAAATACTAAATTTATGATTGCTAATATTGGTTCTACAGTGCATATCAAAATTTCCGATGTCGATCTTCGTTCAATTATTGCTGTTGTTTTAAAATGAACTGACAATGGATTTATTCAACTAGAATCCAATGATGGTAAGATAAATTCAAATAATACAAGTTATTTTTTATTTTTTTTATTTATTTGATACCTATTACCTACCTATACATTATAATTACAGGAGTGATAAACAACTATATACTCTCGATCCCAGTTCACAGAATGTTCAAAAAATTTGTTAGCTGTAGAAACTGTTCCAAATGAAAGTATTATATTAAGATCTACGGAAACTGCGCAGTCACTGGGAACTGGTCAGGGTTTTTTTTAAGTGCACTTGTACCAAAAAATGTGACACAAAGCGATGTGTTTGTAGAAAAAAAGAGGTATTGTGCAACTCTAAATGCCAAAAATAGCCTTACATGTAAAAATAAATAAATAAATAATATAACTATAATTAATTCAGTAAAATAAAATATTTTAATATATATTTTAAATTTTAGTGTATTTATACTATAACGGATATCAAACTGAAATTGTATAGAATAACTAGATATTCTATGAAAATCTAGTTTAAGTACAATTTTCATGTATTATTTCATACTTTAACTAACATTCATAGGTAATTCATGAACTGTCTAGTTATTTCATAAAATAACGGAATTCAACACTTTAGCTGTAACATATATACCATAAAACAAATCTACAAATGAATGATGCGTTGAATTCAACTATTAAACCATTGTGCATGTTATAAATTAGTGAATCAAATTTATTTATAAAAAATACAAATACAGTCTAAAAGATATGTATAATCTTTTAATTAAAAACATAGATATACAAATCTTAAACTGTCATAGAATCATTTATGTGTATATACAATCTAAACTTTAACGAAATTATAGATAATATATAAAATTAAAATAACAACCTGAAAATGTAGAATAAAAGTAAATTATGCAAATCTAATATACGAGTAATACTTACTGTGTACCAATATTAAGTTCAAATTCCTAAAAGTTGCATCAAATGCTAAATGTTCATAAAACCCAAAAAAAGATTTATTTGCTTTCTCTGAATCTATGAAACTAATATAGTATTATTAATATATCATTAATAAAATAATTATAAACTTACTAAGAAATATTAGTTTCAAATTTGTCATAACACTGTTGGTTAAATATTTAAATGATGCCTAATCAGTGATAAGTTCATCTTGTCCTGGCATTTTAACATATTACAGCAAAATTCTAAATTTCCAATTAAGATAAAATAAGATAACTGATCAGTAACATTTAAAAGTAATAAGATAAATTCAATAAAAATATTGTTCACTAACGATAAATTATTTGTCCATCGTTCAATCTAGGTCATCAATATTGTTATGAGTTCAAATCATAAAACATGATATATAAATGAAAATATATTGACTAATATTTAGTCGCAGAGTATTGTACTGGAATAAATGCACTTTAAGACGTAAAAAAAAAAAAAACAAGTATTATTGTTAAAATACAAATTTACTCAATATAAATTAATTGTTTCAATTTTATATAAATTGTTGACAGGTCCATCTCTTTTCTTATTGTTAACATTTTTATTTTTTATAACCCGCATTGTATTGTTAATATTATTTACTGAGTCCAAATAGTCACATTTGCTATTTATGTCATTTTGAACTTTAATAATAAGTTCAAGAACATTAGGATCATTTGACAATAATAATTGTTGATATGAGCAGTCAATCATCAGTGTCATCCAATCAACCAATCTTTCTTCAATCAATTTCTCTTTCATAAGTGAATACAAAGTATTCAAAATGATCAGCATATTCTCAAACGGCAATTGGTGTCGTAAACAAGATGGCTTATTTAAAGGTGGATAAGTAAATAACTTTGACAAAAGATTTGAATGTTTTGCTGTGTTTGAACTACAATATGATAATATTTCAACTAAAGAAGTATCACTTATGTCGTTGTTTTCCATCAGTAACCGAATCAATGATTTATCCTTTTTATTTTTAATATGGTCAGTAATAATCATTTCATTTAATCTGGAATAAGCAAATAAATATGTTAAATATTATAAAAATAAGTAAATAATAATAATAATTTTTACTTTGATTGAGATAAAGCTGAAGCTGAAATAGTATCTATACATTTTTGTTTTGCATAAGAATCCCATTCAATTTCTTCATATTTATCATTTATTTTTATTAAATTATTATCCATTAACAAGGATAAGTTATTCCGTTCACACGTAAAAGGAATCACTGCTAAGTTTTGGCCTGTTACTAAGAGTAAATGATTTCCAAAACACCATAAATTTGGAGGGTTGGTATAGATTTTAAAATGTTGTACAGCAACTACCATATTGTAATGGAAATTGTATACTACTAAAGCAGCTCCTAAAAAATACAAAAATATTATAAATCCATCAGAAATGATGCATTAGTATATAAAATCATAAGCTTTAATTTTAATTAACCAATATTAATTATACATTTGTTTTTTAAATAAGGTTATTAAAAATATGAAATCAGTAAAAAAAACAGTAATAATATTTTTACTAACCTTCGCCTTTTGGTTCTGCTCCATAAAGACCAATACAATCTGAACTTAATTGAATTAAAGATACTTGTTTTTTTAAATTAACTAAAGTAATTTCTGTCAACTGTTTACCAGGAAAATCATTGCTATTGGATTCAGTATACAACTCATTTGAATATAAGTAACCATTAGACCCTATGGAAATAAAATATAATATTTTATAATTGGCAAACATATAGACACAAAGTGATTTTTAAATTAAAATATTTGTAATAAAAAATTAATATCTATAAAAATTATAAATTATAGAATATATTATAAATATATATTAATAAATTAATATATTTTCTAAATAAATACATCAAACGATACTTACAAAATGTTACAATATTCAGTGAATCAGAATTTTCTCTAATACAATAACCCAGTAATTTATCAGTTTTGTTTTTGAAAGATATTTGTAAATTAATTGGCAAAAAAGTATCTTCTAATGGCACAGACCGTAATGTTTTTATATTCTGAAATTACAATATTCATATAATCATAATAATTATTTGTATAATATAGTTATAAATTAAAATTACCTTGTCGTCAACAGATACAATAATACAAATAGCTTTTGTCCTAAACATACATAATTTAGCTAACTCAATTGTTTCTCCATTATTAATAACAGCGTCTCTGATTTTTTTTCTGTTACCAATTGCTTCTTTTAAACACTCACAATATCCATTTTCAAAAACTGCAACTGCTCCACTATAATCTAATCTGGTTAAAAGTTTTATAATTTTTGAGGTAAACTATAAATAAAAACAAATAAAGAATAAATATTAATTAAATTGAATTATCTTGAATAAGTAAGATTTTTTTTTTTATTTAAATCAAATAGTATGTAACTTTTGGCCAATTTACTAATTATACTGTATACTATTATAAAATATTTATAACAAGAGAAAAATTTAATAAATTTATTAGTGATGAGTCAAACCATGATTTTTGAAACCAAACCAAACTTTAAAATTTTTTTTAAACCAAATCTAATAAATTTTTAAATCAAACTCAGCACTTTTTATCATTATTAACCATAATTAAAACTAATTTAGATATTTTGAAAATACCATCATGCGTAGAAAATAATAATATATAATGGAGAAATAAAAATTACAACTATTATTTTTCATTTAAATATCTTATTTTGTCAAAATTAAAATTTCAAATATCTATAAAAAAAAAAAATATGCAATTATATTTTTAACTGCTATAAATACAATTTATGAAAAATATTGTATTACATTCTCAAACTTTTTGCTTTGGAAAATTTATTTACTACTATGAATTGAAAAAAAAAATAACAGTTATAAATATAAATATCTCAAAAAGAATTACAAAGTTTAGAAAATTATATATTGTCTTGAAAGTACTTGCATGAATATTTCGTGAAAATTTCAAATATATGATAGTTATTTATTATTGAATAAACGTCTAAGAACTACTAATTTGTCAAAAACCATTCCGTAAATATTCTCATTTATCTGTAGTATTGTTTTTT